CACTAAACTATATGTATAAACCATAAGAGTTTTGGATGGTACAATTTATGAAAGAAGAATCAATTGTCATTTAAATGTGGAACAATAATACGGTGGTCACTCAGAGGGACACATAGGCTTCAAGATCTGGCAAGTGCGGTCACTCACAAAATGAAAAAAAATTAAGATCTCACAATATCACTGAACCATATGTATAAACCATAAGAGTTTTGGATGGTACAATTCATGAAATAAGAATCATTTGTCATTTAAATGTGGAACAATAATACAATGGTCACTCAGAATGACACATATGCTTCAAGATCTGGCAAACTTGTGCCGTCACTTGCAAAATGAACCAAATTAAGATTTCACAACATCACTGAACCATAATTATGTATAGATGTAAAACAAGAGTTTTTGACCGTAAAAATTTCAAAAGGGAAATCATTTGTCATTTGAAATGTAGTAGAATATTAAATAATAAATTATAGTGACCACTGCTTTGTCAAGTGCTGTCACCTGAAAAGTACAGTAACCCCAAAGATCTAACATATTAACTCAGCTGTACAACAAGCCAAATTTCTGAATTATGGACATGCTAAGGTCACATCACCGACTTATATTGGTGTAAAAAAAATGTTTGCCTGCACAGCTCAAGATCCGGCTACTTAAGATTATTCTATTAATGAAGACGATGCGCAACAAAGAGTACAGTTATTTCTGCAGTAAACAAAAAGGAATCAATCAATGGCATATCTGTGCATGCATCTTAAATTTTAAGATTTATCTTTGAGGTTTTAAGCTTACGCAAAGTTATTAGAAAACCAAAGTAAGTAAACGAACCACGATATCAAGAACAACATACCTTTCTGCAATCCAGCTGAGTTGATGACTTGGAAACAGGCTTTATGTGAAGAATATCGCAACTGATCACTGTCTCTCGAAAATAACAAAGGTATAAATCGTAATAGAACAGCTGAATAGAAAGACAGGCTTTCTATTATCCGAAAATAACAAAACTACTCGTTTTGCAACGCCGTATCGCTTGTGAAGTCCGCGTGAATTTGAACTGTTCAACGAAAGTTTATTTTACACTATTCTATTGGTTCAAAAGCCGCGCGTGACAATGTAAATCAAATCGCGCATGTGCCAAAGTCACATGGAAGCCTGGGCAACAAACATGGCGGCTGCTCTTGCGACGGAGTGCATTCAGGACTACATTCACCCGGACGATGAAACTCTGCAATCTACTATTGAAATGACTCCTGGGTTCAAACCTTTCACATATTGTGCATTTTGTTCACCCAAATTGTAAATGGTAACGTTTTACGTCAGGGCCTCCTATTCCGAGACTTCTTGTGATATTTTTTTCCGTGCCACCGACACAATATCAGGAAACGCATTCGACGCTAAACGAAAAAAAAGGGGGGATGGCCTTACCCGAAATAACCAGCTGCAGCAAGTAATATTATAAACTTTGAGAAGAATGTGATGGTGATTGAAACGGAAAATGCAATGGAAAATCAAAACTTGCGTGAAATAACACTGTGAAGTTTGGTAAATGTGCAAACGTTGGTTAAAGTGGTCGTAAAGATAGTTCTTTGATCATATTTTGCTTAAATTTACGCCTCTAGTAACCATAAATTTACACAGTAACTTTGCTATGCCAGAAAATATCAAGCAAACATTCAGTTTTGACGTTCGATTTTTACACACAGAACAAAATGGTGGCAAACTTGAATCTAAACACCAAATTTACTATGGGGAGCAAAAGTGAAACAAAATATCTGTAAACTTGAAATTTACTCCACATTTACGCCACCCTTGCAGAAAAGTAAACTTTCACTTTCGAACAAAATTTGCACCAAGAACAAATAAGTAGCAACATTAGTACCCTAAATTTACAATAGATTTGCTCAACTAGCAAACTTAGGCAAATCCGTTTTTTCGTCCGGTGTTAAACCTATAATTCTGCAGTTTTTCACAATTTTGCAAGAGAATTTGCACTCATTCAATATCCACGACGATCAAAGCACGCGCTTCCTTTGCACAACAAATTATAGCATTGAATTATAAAAAGTTTTCATGAAGAGAATTCTATAATGCCAGGACTTTCAGTGAGAAAAAATCTGGTCCTATGTGATATGTAGGGTAAAATGGGCTTTTAATGAAAACGATAAAAAAATTCCCAAAATCACTTTTCGGCCAGCCGGACGGGGCTCACTTTTGACAGGCACTAAATTTGCAGTGCGATTAATAGAGTTACCATTTACGCTTCAACATGATAGATAAATTGTATGTTTAGGTTTTATTTCCCTTTATTTATTAAACTGCGGACGGTTTTGTTATGTGTAATCTTTAAAAGCGAGTGATATTTACGCGCGGCGTTTTGAGTATTCCTGCATGAGATGTTTATGTTCGACTGGATACAACCGGTGCAACGATAAAAATTGCGAGAGGGACTACTAACAATCAATAAAATAAATATAATTCGGTGAAACATGTACAGAGACAATAATTTTCATTCACGAAGAGAAGTATTGAGAGTAAAGTGTCTTTGAAAATCATGAGTCAGGTAAGCATAAGCTTATTTATGTTTTAAGCCGGCTTCCCGGTGTTTGCTCTTTTTCAAGATGAACTCGAGGCAAGAAAATCGCTCAGGGCTTTCTTTTTACAGTCAAAATCATAAGTAAATAATCTTCGGAACATTTTCTTTGAATTTGAAGTCAAAAAATGTCTAAAGGCTTTTTAAACCTGATACTATTGTAGGTTAGATCATTGCTCGTATATAAACTTAAGCCGCATAAACCATACGCTCGACTTCAGGAAACCGAAAAAAAAAAACACATCAAAGACAACAATTTCTCAGGCTTACCAGTTGAGATGCTGCTTCTGAAGGTCATCAAGTGTTCCAGAATTTTCAACCCTCTTACGCCTCAGGCAAGGGCAAGTGAGTAGGCTCATTTTTGAAAACGATGCCATCCGAAATCGGATTTCCAATGACTTTGACAAGCGGTGCATTTGTCAACAAAGAGCGCAATAAACAAACCAGCCATGAATTACAGAACAATCTTGATAGCAGCTGTATTTCATTTTGTAAACCAAGTAGAAACAGCCAGCTTAAAACATCACAAGATGACACCAAACTCTGTAAGCTCCAGCTATCAGTAAGCAAGTTTCCAGACGCTGCATAAATTTTCCGCATGAACTCACCTGTCAAATTTTGACCAATCAGAACATAAAAATTGAACGTAGAGCGTGATCAACGCGTGACAGTGAGAAAAGTCAAAAGTGATTGCCTTCCCCGCATGTAAATGTAAAAGCCGGTTGAATTTTCGCGTCCGAGGTCAGTTCGAAATCAACATTTTAAAAGTGCGGCTCATGAACTCGACTTATTTCATATGCTTTAAAAAAAAATTGAACTTGAGCCTACGATAATTGAAAAGTAGCAACCTGTCAGCGGATACGTTAAAAAACACTCGAACTCAGTGGGTCGATACCTGAGCCCGCGATAGGGTCAGGCGATACTGGTCAGCAGTAACACTATTTTGACTGCTGTCAATTAATCAAAACATGGATGTACAATATCAGGTTGCAGGCTCCCAAACTAGCTAGAAAGTGTGAGATTAAACATTGGTATACCTGTGGTGCGGACGGACGGAAGGTCGGGTGGTCGGTGTACGGTCACGTGATTGCCGAATTTTCTAAGATGGATCGTGACCTCAATGGATAGGCTAATGAGCCCGCGATACACTCAGATGATGATGGTCAGCGTATACTCTAGTTTGACAGCTGTCAATTAACCTTCATTAGAATGGCGAATATTCGAATTAACAGACTACGAGTGTGAGTAAGACATCTCCGTCCGGCATATAGTGGAAAATGCCAGATCGTGTACCTGAGAGAACCTGAGCCCACGTTATTAGTTTTCTAGTGGTCTGCACATGTCCCATTTTGACAGCTGTCAATTGACCTTAATTTGGCTTGCCAATATATCTTTAAACGACTGTCAGCCAACTGACAGCCTTGCCCGGCGTAGTTTTGTTTTTATGTTGAATTGGTAAGTGTGACATATTATATCCGCTTATATGTAGGGGCAAAACGACTGGTCTTTCATCTGAGCCCGCGAGATAGTCATGTGATAATTGTCAGCGGATGCCTAATTTTGACAGCTGTCAATCTAATCGTACTCATACGGATGGCTTACATAACTAAGAGGCGAGTCAAGTTGTGCAAGATCCTTTGTGACATTTGACATCGGCTTACATGAAGCGTGTGTACGGGTGGGCGGGCGGGCGGGCGGGCGGGCGCTACGTCATAACCAAATTTTCTCAGATGGATAGTTTACCAAATTTTCTTACCCATGGCGCTCCGCTCTGCGCGCGCTTCGCGCGCGCGAGGAGCTCCGCTAATATGACAATGTCGGCAAGAGTCGGATTTTCTGTCTTCTTTCTTTTTTTTTTTTCTTTCTTTCTAGGTTCTAGATTTTAGGCTAGATTATTACATTAATTTTAACTTATAGCTTACACTTGTATGCCCTTCGCATAACTCCTTGCAGTTCCTAGTTGGTATTGATTGCACGACCAAGTTACACATCGAAACATGTCAGAGAATAAAGGTCCTTTCCGTGTAATTCTTGATCGTGGGAAAGTTTGCACGAATCAAACAAGTCATCAAAAAGAAATTTAAGCCTTAATAATAAACTGTCACATCGTAGGCAAAATGATTTAACAGAATGCCTTTGTTCTCAAGCCGGATTTGGTGTCCTTCATGTCCTAGACGTGCAGTGCCTCACATATACTTTCCATTGAAAGCGGAAATATTAGACCCTTGAGGCTAGTTAACGCGGGAAAAAACGCATTTGTTTAATCTTACCGCAACAGATTGTAATTACCATTGAGAGTAAAGCACGATGAACCAACCGAATAAAACGCCCTAGAATCAAGACTGCACTGAGGTAGAACTCATCCATTACTTCGCAATTTACTTGTTTACTCATTGACTGTTATTCTCTTCAAGATCCCACCGATATTGTCGATGGAAAGCCCGTTGAAAGAGATGCACCAGGTTAGTACTTAATTACATTATGCTATTAGTACGAACCAAAGGTTACAATCGATAAGAGTCTTGTTATATTCTGCACAGACAGTATACTTAACTACGGCCAGAATACGGCTTTGCATGCCGATGGCCAAGTTTCTACTGCCTTTTCTGTTAAACTTAATATAAGTCGCTGGAAAATGAACAAAGTTTTCCCTTTATACTTGACTTTGTGTAACTAGATTTAAAACAACGTCGAGTAAAATGATTTGTTTTATCGGTTGCAACCAAAGAAAAAATGGAATTATTTCAAGGGGGTGGGAGTGTGACCAAAGAGCCTAAGGCGAACCTTTCTTGTAATGATTATAATCATACAAAACGCTAAATAAATGGAATCGGACCTTATATTCTTGCGGAAAACTTGTACATTAAGATTAACCGCTCTTTGTAAGCACTATAGTTTCAGTATTGTGGAGTGGCGCATAGCCGCTAGTGTCTCGATGTTTCTTGACAATAAATCTTCCCTAGGGAAAAAATATAAGTGATATTAATAAATCAAACATCAACCTAAAAGATCATCAAAAAAGTAATTTGTTTTAATTGATTTTCAATCTTTTTTTAACATAAGAAGTATCTTATCAATGGCGAGCAGTTAGGAGCAGACGATTTCGTTCAGGATTCTACAATTATTGAAGGAGCGGAGCAAGCAGATGAAATGGCCCTACCGGCTGAGGATTATGGTATTTTTTCTTTTTTTTTATAAAAAAGGGATCGTTTCGTAACTCTTTTGTTTATTTGCAATATTTTCACACCAACCTGGTTTTTTGTACAACTTGTCTGATGTAGTCTTCTTGGTATTTAGCGTAGACGAGGGAAGTGATCAAATGCGAGAACCTGGAACGGGCAAACTTTTGTCCACCGTAAGCCGTTTTGTTGCAAAAGGCTTACTATATAGAATCACTAATAATAGTAGCCACGCAAAATTTTGCATAAGAGTACTTAAATGCATATATACTGTACCAGCAGAGCATTGACAACTATCAATTATCAATTACCGCGTTTCTAGGATCATGGAAAAAACATCCCTTCAGCTGGTGTACAATTGGAGGGCGACAGTTTTTGAGTGGAAAATATGGCGTGCCACAAACCTTTAAGCAGTGCGCTGCGCAATGTGACAAAACACCAGGGTGCAAGGCGATTGAATTGTGGCATAAGTACAACTGGAACTGTTACTGGTGCAAGAGAGCAGATTTGATCCAACCTTACACCAATACATGTGATCTCGCCTACCCTGCACATGTGTGGGTAAAACGTAAGAAAACTCTCTCATTATTTTATTGATATCCCTACTATATTCATTTGGATTTTTGCACATCTCCGATGTGAATAGTTCACTTCAAATGACACTACATTAAAATGTGTATCTCACTTAACAAAGAATTTCAGGGTAATAAACTAATTTCTTGTTTTCGGATAATTAACAGAAACCTTTAACTATTTTTTTTTTCTGTGATAAATGTTATGCATCATTGGCTTTTTATGAATACTAAGTTAACCTTTCTGTAAGCGCGGCTTTGATTATACTGGCGAAAGATAAATGGAGGGAAAAAATGCTTCGAATGTTATTTCAAAGAAATAATTTAAAAAGCAATTATCAGTCATTAAATAATTATTATGCTAAATAAAACAGCGCTCAGTTAGCAAAAGCTTCCAAAAGTATATGCAAAAGAGATATTACCTAGTATACGAATAGGCCTTAAGTTCTTCAAATATAGCACTTGATCTAGGTTTTTTCAATAGGTCATTCAAGGTCTTTCTGGCAAAGTATCGATAAGAGTTTCGTGGTCCAGATTGTGGTCTCTTCTTTATCCTCCATGTTGATCTGCTTGAAGGGTATTTTTGCATATCTCCGACGTGAATAGCCGATCAATCATCTTCTTTAACCTCCTAATCCTTTTTACAACAGATAGTAACTGAACAAAACAAAACAATAAAAATTAATGGTGAATGATAGAAAAAGCTATTATAGTAGCAATTTGGCAAGAGGTTTGGACTATCTGTGAGACTAATGGAACTGCGTTATCTCTCTTGCTATTAGAGTGGTATTCGACACAGTTAACTATGACATTACTTTACAAAACGTCAAATTATATGGCTTTAACTACAAGATTATGGACTGGCTTAGATCGCATCTTTTCAACAGATGCCTAGTTTGACTAATAGGCACAGCATCTTCAAAACGATGGCTGCGGACTAATGGTGTCCCTCTAGGCTCTATTTAAGGACCACTGCGCTCCGGATCTTACTAAAACAAATTGAATAACATTCCACCTTATACTCTAATTTACGGTCACATGACGAGAATCTCAGGCCCCAAATGTGGAAATCTGGTGCGAGCACGTTGACAGAATTTGCAAGAGTCAGGGTCGTCTGGTGTTTTCTATACCTTTCTCCTGGTTTCCTTCTTCCATAATAAAGTTTGTTCACGGATATTTGAAAACTATTATTTTACCATAAATAAAAGGTAAATAAAAGCTATAGCTATTAGTAGTCTATCAGTACCATCTACACCGGTAAAGACAGGAAACATTTTCATAACATACCCTCAGATTAAAAACTTGTTACTCATAACTGATATCTTTTTTTGTTACCTTGCAGTTGATAAACCCGAAGGTAAGTGTATCTGTCCCTATCCTGATATAAGAAACAAAGGCCCTTTCCTAGCTTGAACTCATAGAGAAAGTGGAATAAGTTGTCTCGTTAAAACTTGCTTAGGTACCTTTCAATAATACACTGTTTCTCTAAAGCTAGTAGCCTGAAGTAACTACATCTTAACGGCACTTGCCTTTCACTTAACAGAGTACATTGTGTAAATAGTTTGTAATCTACTGGAGCTTGAAAACTCATTCATTTTGTAAACGATCATCAATTATATTTATATTGTTCAAAAGGTTAATTTTTCTGGCAAACTGACCTATTGATCGACTATTAAGTAGTTTTTCGATCAAACAGGGATTAAGGGCTGCCCGGAAAAACGTATATTTTCAAATGCGCAAATCATGGGGTGAGTTCCTTAGGCCATTTTAATAAACAATTCATATCTTCCGCGCCATTGTGTATAATATATATCTACATATTTCCTTTGATTTACTTGCCTCTTTAACTTCATTTTTAGAATGTACAAAGTACCAAGAGCTCAACGACTTCACTAGAGCACAGGGATACAGCCGAGCTCTTTACAAATGCGATACCACTCTGGCTGCACAGCCTACTTGGTACAGATTTACAGGGGAATCAGGAAGCCAGATGCCTACTTCTTGTGGTCCAACTAACCGCTGTGGAACCCACGCACCAGGTTGGCTTGCAGGATGTCATCCTCCCCCTGGTAAAATTAGCACCGTCCTTGTCTGCTTTCACTGGCATGGTGATTGCTGCCGCTGGCATACTTTCATCCGTGTGCGTAATTGTGGTGGGTTCTTTGTCTACGAGTTGAAGAAACCACCAGCCTGCTATCTGCGTTACTGTGGAAATTCAGGTCATAAATAAATAAGTAAACAATCTGGTTTTTTTTGTGTGTGTGTGTCAAACCGTGACTTTATGTGCACTAAGTTTTGACAAACAACAGAAAAAACAAGCGGTTGAAATGTTTACCCATTTTATAATAGTATTTCTTCTCAATCTAACCATAGTTATTAGAGGAGACTGGTTATGAAAAGCGGCAAACATCAATGATAAAAACAACAGTGCTGCAGTTTATGTTGGAAGTACCGTGAAAGTGCAAATTGTTACGGAATAAATTAATGCAACGTTTTTATTGGTCAATACAATCAAAATGATAGGAATTCTTTTGAACGTTGTGCACTTTCAGGTCCACAAAAACATATAACAAAGGAGTCTGACGGGTTTCATAACCATTCCACTCAATTAACTATGATCTAACTGTTGAAAGTTTTTTGATGAACATGTATGGACATCTTTTAGTTTTCATTGTGTAGTTGACGCTTTGCTACCGCGTACGATTTTTCAAACAAAGAATTTTGAAAGACAGACCTTCGTCAATTATATCATTATCATCATAATCACTATCGCTTTCAAAATTCTATTCAGTAAAATGATATGTCCTGGGAAGCCAAAAAAAATGCCTAAGACAATAAACCTCGTCCCCAGGGTCTTCCCGCTTTCTAATATGGCGCCAGCAGGAGAGAAGACCCTGGCACATAGCAACCTAAAACGTTCGCTGATTGTTGCGTTTCATACATGGACTCTGATTGGTTTATATCATCAAAAACAAAGATGCGTACCTCATGGAAAAAAAGAGGACTGTTATCTTTATCCTCTGAGGCCTAAAAGGTGAATAGGAAATCCTTTTAATCGTTTGCAAAACTGAGAATCTGTACCGTTAGAAGCAGCAGCAAAGTAAAAGGAGAATATTTAAAGATAGTTTGCCCATTATTCACGCTCCCCGTGGTGATCTTCAGCTTATTTCGACATCTGTCATGCCGGTTTTTGTGCTTAGAAATAAAAAAATTAATCAGGCACCAAACATTTGTTTCATAGAAAACTTCCAGGCCTAGACTTCAGGTCATTGATTCATTTAGCTGTCTAGAAAACTGCCATTTAGTGAATCTTATCCCCTCCTTACTGTATATGTTACAAAGGTCAAAGTTTGATCATGATTTCAGCTTATAATTCTGATTCATCCTACAAGATGTAGGTCGATATTTTTAATCCTAACTTTCAAATTACTCAGTTTTTAGCATCAGCATTTATACCTCTTTCTCCCTTTTATTGACACCTAATGCAGCAAACAAAATTTATTGAGGTGTGGGGCAACTGACAGGCTTTTATGGATTCTGTAATTAAAAACCCTCTGGTAGCCAGGGTCGTAATTGCTCTGAATAAGTTAATGGCATGTTGTATATTGATTTTTTTTTTTAGATTTTTGTCTTGAATAAAAAAATACCGCTAATGCACTGATAAATTTAAAACTTCAACATTTCCCCCAGGCGGTCCTCTGATACATTAGGCCAATATTATTAGTGATCAAATGCCTCTGCCAAAGAAGAGTTGTTTTGCTCTTATTCTGATGTACGGCTTAACTCACAGTGAATGTTTTGGACGTCTGAAAGTAAGACAGGCTTTTAGGCAGTAGCATTACGGTATCAAGCTTCTTGAACCTCTATTTGATGTCCCCTTCAATTTGTACTATATATATTGAAATAAGCAGTCCATCGCTAAAGCTACCTCCGAATGACTTTATTGAGGTGCCCCCTTCTAGTTTATTCAGGGGTTGAGCGGAAGTTATGTCAACCAGCTTGTATCAAGTTACTACGCATGAAGTTGAAAGTTAAGCCTGACTTCTTTATTTCTTTATTTTTTTTAGTTTATTAAGGCACTTGGAAAAGCCAAGTCAGACAAGCAAGCAAGGCTCATGGGTAAGTGCAGCCCCCTTTAGAGAGGTCGGCGTTTCGAAGGAGGCTTCGTTGTCAACTTGCTCGCATTTTCAGTGGTACGTTTTTCAAAGATTAACAATAACTCAATTTCTATTCCTCACGAAGAAATTATTGCGTTACAGATCATATCACAGTTTAGGCTGGCATTTTAGGAAAACTTTCCAAGGGCACTTGAGAACTAAATAAATGAACTTAATTTCTTTGTTTTTTGTATGTTTGTTTGTTTTTGTTTTGGTTTTTAAACTAATGCTTTATTTTTTTGACGATATTACAGATTTAGAAGACATGTAGGACCAGCGTTTCAAGCCCTTCATGTGATTGTATTACAACTTCCTGGCAGCTTAAAAGTAAATTAAAGTTCCGCCTTCGACAATTAAACTTAATCATAAGCGTAGTTTAACACAGCTTGTATGTTGCTTCCCTGATGGTGTGATGGATAAAAACGATCAATAAATGTAATTTTTTAATGCATATTTTTCAATTGCTCGGCTTGCCTGTCCAGTCCTGTAATCTAACATACATAGCCGCATAGCAATCTCTCTTTCGCCAGTTTTTTTCACTCTGCTTCCAACGGTCGATCCTACAGAACAAAAACACAGCTCACACTCACAATATATCACATAACGCAAAATTCCGAAAAGAAACTCCTCCGTTCATAATCCGTTCCTTTTCGGAAAAAAAACAAAAACGATAATCATCCCCTCCTTACTGTCTAAGCCCTCGGGGATTTATTTTTGGATACTAGTACCCCCAAATACAAAATAAACCATATCATGTCAAAAAACTGTAAGACATAATTTTTCATGAAAGATCAGTCTATCAACTTTGGGAAAAGTTGGGCTTACGCCTGAATAACTTCAGTCGACAAAAGAAATGTTAACCCTGAACCAAAACAAAAAAGAGCTGAAACATTTCTTTGATTAGAGTTTCGAAAGGGTGGTATTCCCTTTACAACAAAATTAAAACCACCGACACCATCCCTATATGGGGTTCGTTCAGCCACTGCACTAATGGTTAATGAACTCATTGTTTTTCTCTTTTGCGCCTAGCCTTTATGTTTGTGTTGAACATTTCACTTAAATCGATTTTTCAACGCAAATGTCATAATCGTGTTTTAGTTTCTGTAGGACTCGCTGATTGAGCTGATCGCAAGTATGTCCTCGGAACTAATAATACAATCTTCACTGTCATACGTTAGTGTGACGTTAGTGTGATCCCACTCCCGTTTACCGAGCAAATGTTGAATATATGTATTTGACCAAGCGTGACGTTAATTCTATCATCAAGAACTGAAAATTCATGTCATTGCGCACGTATTTTTTTGTGTGTGTGCCATGGACCAAGCAATCCAAACAGTATAGCTTTTCTAAAATAATGGGTTCAATTCAATTATCCGTACCAATGGTCCCTTGCATACATTTTCTTAGATGGATGAAAATTAATTTCTTCCCGGAGGGGTACTCCCTTCTATAGGCTATATAGGTATGTGCCGCCCCATCAGGTAGGGTTTTTGCGCCGTTTTGGTCTGAAAACGGGTATGGTTTACGAGGGAACTACGGGAGTGTGTGCACGTATTTAACGTTAAATTTCCAAATGAATAAAAAAGAAAGAGGAATATGCGTATTCGAAATGGATTTGAAGAATTTTTTTTGTTTGTGTTCTAATCTAAGTCAAGTAATGATAACATAATTTCTGCCTAAAGGCCAGGTCCGAAAACAGGTGTGGAAAATTACATTTTTTTGTATGAAATAGGGTCAGGAAATGGATAACCGGGCGGCACACCCCCACCGAGAATTCCCAGGAGTACCCCCCCGGGCATTTCTTGTCCTAAATTATCAAGTCACAGTAAGGTTTTATGAGGCTTTTATGATTGTTTTATATGGTAAAATCCCATTTATATTTTCATTCAATATTCATTCTCAGTTATTACCACTTGCCACTATATGGGAGATCAAAAGACACAAACATTTCAAAGTTACTAATGAACAGACCCGAGCTCAATGAGTCGCCCTTTATGCTTTAATACCTTTGAACAAGCTTACTTCAAGGACATATTGTGTGCTCTACATTATCCTGGTATTTTCCACGTGTTATACACAATGCTGAAACGTTCACGGCCGATGATCAGCATTAGCCTTATTCACGTTTGTCTCTCTAGTCTTACAGTGCCGGTCTCCCACTTTCAGCCAGCTGCAGGATTCACTGCCAGCCAACTATTTTGCCTGTCGTATGAATTATCGTTTTCCACGCTATTTTTCTTCTTCTCCTTCTTTTTCTTCTTCTTCCACACATTGTACGCAATGCTTATTGCTTGTTATTATTATTATTATATTAATATTATTATTATTATCATCATTATTATTAAATGCGTTGGTTTCGCCAACTCAAGCGAAATCCCGAGTATCATATCATCTGACAATCATTAATACTGGCCATTGTTATGTCACCCTTGCTGCCCACCCGTGCTGCCCACTTATTCCGCATACCAAACGTTTTCCAGTTGGCCAGGGTTAATTATAAGCTTCAAACGGCAAGATTTCATCGTGGAAGTACAGAGTGTAACTAAAAAATATAACCTAAAGTTTCTTAATTAATCAATTGTGTATATTGATATGACTTTTGTAGTGGCCTGCGAAGCTAGAACACTGCAGAGGTTTTCCTAGAAGCTGGAGCGTGATGTCTTCCATTCATGACGCCAACGATATTGCTTCATTGACAAAATACTTAACTACAACGTTATTAATCTGTTTATACAATGTGTATGAAAATGAATGGTTCCTACCAAAACTTTGTATATTCTCTCAGTTTAACTCTAAGTTAATGATCATGATAAAAATTGAACGTGTCGGAGTTAGGCCTTGAGGCAACAATTTAAAACAGAAAATAAAACTCCTTTATGCTACATGTACTCTCGATATTTGTTATTTAAAGTTGAGGTCTCACGCTTGACTGACTTAAGGTGACAAAAAAAAAAATCTTAACCATGGACTAAAACAAAAGACTAATCCACAAAAAACCTTGTGGATATTTAGCAATGTATGTGAAACGCTTGGAAAAGTAATTTGAATTCGCGTTATTTTTTAGATGTATTCC